CAATCCTTGCACGAGGAAAAGACCGATAACAGCTCTTCCTGGCAATCGCTCACGATGTGCTCATCCAAGTCGGAACCGGCCCGGGAAAGCAGGGTCGCGCGGGTGGCTTCACGCGGGCAAAGTACGGCGTCCACAGCCTGGGACCTGATCATCACGCCCCCGACGCGCCTGGTGGCCTCAGCCTGCGCCTTCGAGCAAGGGCCGCCAGACGTCGCGCGGCCACCGTGCCCGCTCGGCCAGGTCGACGCGTCGACGGCGCCACTGGCACGGCGGCCAACGGCCTAGCGACGAGAAGCCCGTTGGCGTGCACCTCGGCTCAGCCCAGCACGGCAGGGCAGCTCCTCCGCCAGCTCCGGCAAAGGGAAGATCTCGGGCTGCATCGCGGAAAAGGCGGAGAGGCTCAACACCACGACGACCGCGACGCCAGCCTCGCAAAAGCGCCCGGAAGCGCAGCCCCTCTGAGGTAGACGCGGCCTGCAGCCGGGCACCTGCAAACCGCCGTCGCACGGCTAGCTGGCAGCCGCGCCTCCAGCCGCACTCTGGGCCCTCGCCTTCGCCTCTGGGGTGGCGTCGGCGGCGCGGACCTCCTGGGCCTTCTGGCGCCGCCCCTTGGTGCGGGTCGCCACGTGGGCCGCGGAGGCCGGAGCGACGCCCGCCGCCCGCTGCTGGGATCCCGACCGCAGCTCCTCATCCTCGAAGCGCCCCTCACCTGGGCCACGGCTGGCCGCGTCCAGCAGGAGCTGCATCCCCCTCGCCAGCAACCCGAACGCGGCCAGCGATGCGAGGTTGCGCTGGTCGCGGGAGCCCGCGCGCTCCAGCAGGCGACACATCGCCTGCAGCTCGCACGCGAGCCTGTCCGACGAGGCGATGCGTTTCTCGACCAGGTACCTGTGGTACCACTGCGTGGGCGAGCCACCCGTCCTCTCGATGTTCTTGGCCATCCATAGCATGGTACGCGGACCCTCCACAGGCCACTCGTCGTAGAAACTCATGCATGTTTGCGACGGCCTCCTTCCAGGAGAGGAACCGCTCCCCCTGCTCGTCATACTGCACGGCGAGGGCCCTTGCGCCCTCATCCCCGTCGTCGGCTGGACTCGCAGGTGGCGGGAGGCGGGGCCCCTCAGCAACAGCCTGCGCCGACTTGGGCATCAAGGTGGCAATCGCACGCCAACGCCGAACCCCAAAGCCAGGGACGTCAACATCAGGCACACGGTGTAAGATCACGACACCCTCGCCAGCCTTGCCGCCGACTGACGTGCCCGCGAGCCATACCACCACGCGGTCGCCCAGCCGGCACGAGTCCCTCTCCCCGAGGATCGCGGCAGCAGAGAAAGAACTCGGCGCCAATCGGGAACGCGTCGCTCGGCTCGCCGACGCTCCAGCGAAAGCCAACCTCACCCTCGATGGGGGCGCCGGAAAGGTCTCCTCCCCTGGAAGGCGGGGTGGCGGCGCCGCCTGGGGCGCCCTCGGCGTCGCTGGGCGGCCCCAGCAGGTTGGCGTCCGCGGGCGACGTCTTGCCAGACAGGCGCCGTGCTGGCACCACCGCGCCTCCGCCTCCCCAGAGACACTCCAGCGCAATGACCTCGCCACTCCTCAACACGGCGAACGGCGGGGGCTCCACGGGCTCGGTTCCGTCCCGCATGGCGCTCCTCGCGACGTGCCGCACCTCCAGCACCTTCAAGCGCAGGGCCCGCGGCCCCACAGCCTGGCGGAAGCGGTAGCGAGGTGAGGTCACTGACCGCGGCACCACCCCGCCAGGCCCCAGCACCACGAACTCCACGATGTCCGCACCCACGAGAGCCTCCGCCATCTGGTCGCTGTCAGCCGACTCCGTCACCCACTCCTCGAACGAGACGGGCCACAGACACACGCGCTCGTGCAGCAAATCCTCGCCCACGTCGTCGCAGCGCACTAGGATCCGGCTACCGGGCGTCAGCCCTCTCAATGACGCCGCCATCACGGACGGGGTGTCTCCGCGCCGAGCCGCCACCACTCCCATGCTGGGCGCCACGCCTCACGCCTGCCCAGTACCCGCCGGCCCCTGCGAGGATCACGCTCACGAGACCCAAGACGAGCAGAGCCCAAGGCGGCCCGTCGGGGCAGCTCAGGCTCGGGCAGGGCGGGCACACCGCCTGAGGGCAGACCAGCTCAGGGCAGGTCAGGCTGGGACACGGCGCCGGCGGTGGGCACGGCGTCGGGAGCGGGCAGAGCTCCCCGCCGCTGCCTGTCGCGGTCAAGCCGGCGACCAAGCCAGCCACCGCGCCGCGGCCCTGGCCAACGACTGGAGGAGGTCGCTCACAGCAATCGGGAGCACCATCTACGGTGCGACGCCCCAAAAATTTTGAGCAGAACTGGGCCGCGGTCGCTTCCCATGCTCGCAGTCTTCCACACACCCTCATTCCAGCCACAGACAGTGGCATCATCAGCATCATCATCATCATCATCATCATCATCATCATCATCATCATCATCATCATCATCATCATCATCATCATCATCATCATCATCACCATCATCATCATCATCATCATCATCATCATCATCATCATCATCATCATCATCAATCAGCAGCAGCTCAGCAGCCAGCAACAGCGTCATCATCATCATCATCATCATCAACATCATCACATCATCTCATCATCATCATCATCCATCATCATCATCATTATCATCATCATCAGCATCATCATCATGCAGCACGCTCATCACAGATCAATCATCAGCATCATCACATCGGGGCCGGGGGGACATCAGATCATCCTCATCATCTCAATCTCATATCATAATCACCATCACATCATCAGCAGCAGAATCATCATCATCATCATCATCAGCATCATCATCAGCATCATCATCAGGAGCATCATCATCAGCATCATCAGCATCATCAGCATCAGCATCATCATCATCATCATCAGTATCAGCATGGTCACAAGCATGATCATCAGCATCATCAGCATCAGCATCATAATCAGCATCAACATCAGCATCAGCATCATCATCGCCGTCATCATCATCACCATCATCATCAGCATCATCAGCATCATCATCAGCATCATCAGCATCATCATCATCATCATCATCATCATCATCATTGTCATCATCAACATCATCATCCTCATCCTCATCCTCATCCTCATCCTCATCCTCATCCTCATCCTCATCCTCATCCTCAGTATCATCATCAGTATCATCATCAGCATCATCATCAGTATCAGCATCGTCAGTATCATCATCGTCATCATCATCATCATAATCACCATCAGCGTCATCAGCAGCAGCATCATCAGCATCATCATCAGCATCATCAGCATCATCAGCAGCATCATCAGCATCATCAGCATCATCATCAGCAGCATCATCAGTATCATCATGATCACAAGCATCATTATCAGCATCATCAGAATCAGCATCATAATCAGCATCAACATCAGCATCAGCATCATCACCACCATCACCACCATCATCATCATCATCATCAGCAGCAGCAGCAGCATCATCATTATTATTTGTATTTTCCACATAGGCTTGCCCTGTAGGGATCCTAGCTCATCATAGGTAAATGGTCTTTACCCCTCCCCCCCCCCCCAAATGAGACGCCCCCTTTATTTCCCCCCCCCCTCCCCCCCTTTTTCCAATGGCACCCCCCCTTATTTCCAATGGCACCCCCCAGCTTCGAATGGCGAGTCCTTGCCTTTGTGTGCTTGCTTGCTTGCTCTTGCTGCCCTTGCATTTGCTTGCTTGCTCGTGCGTGCTTGCTCTCACTTGCTTGCTCTTGCTTGCCCTTGCTTGCTTGGACTTGATCGCTGGCTCTTGCTTGCTTGTTATTGCACGCTTGCGCTTGCTTGCTTCCGCTTGCTTGCTTGCGCTTGCTCGATAGTGCTCCTTCCGTCCTCCTCCCGTCCTGCTCCCGTCCTCCCTTCGTCCTCCTCCCATCCTCCTCCTGTCCTCCTATCAAGTTGGAGTCTACGCTGGCTGATATTATCCTCTTCATCGTGATCATCATCAGCAGCATCATCATTGTCATCATCATCATCATCATCATCATCATCATCATCATCATCATCATCATCATCATCATCATCATCATCATCATCATCATCATCATCGGCATCATCATCATCCTCATCATCATCCTCATCATCATCATCAGAATCACCATCAGCATCATCAGCAGCAGCATCATCATCAGCAGCATCATCAGCAGCGTCAGCATCATCATCATCAGCATCAGCATTAGCAGCAGCAGCATCATCATCATCAAGATCAGCATCGTCAGCAGCAGCATCATCAGCATCATCAATCAGCATATCATCATCTTCATCATCAGCATCATCATCATCAGCATCACCATAATCAGAATAATCACCAGCATCATCCTCAACACCACCACCATCATCATCAGCATCATCAGCATCAAAATCATCATCATCCTCATCATCATCAGCATCATCAGCATCATCAGCATCAGGATCGGCATCATCATCATCAAAAAATCTCAAGAATCACATCATCCAGAAACAACAATAACACAAACCAACACAACAAAAAGTTCGCAACAACCACGAACTAATCAAGCGACAAATCACATCACAACCATCATCATCATCATCATTAGCATCCGCATCATTCATAGTCAGCAGCATCATCATCAGCCCCCCTCCTCCTCTTCCTCATCCACCCCCCTACTGCCCTTTTCCTGCCTCCTTCTCTGCTCCTGCTCCTTGCTCCATCCTCGCCCTCCTCCTCCTCCTCCTCCTCCTCCTCCTCCTCCTCCCCGCCCCCCGCGTTCCCCCCCCCCCCCCCCCCCTCCCCCTCCTCGCCCTCCTCCTCCTCCTCCTCCTCCTCCTCCTCCTCCTCCCCCGCCGCCTCCTCCTCCTTCTCCTCCTCCTCCTCCTCCTTCACCTCCACCTCCCCCTTTTCCTGCCCCCACGTCCTCCTCCCCCTAGCGCGGAGCGGGCTTCACATCGCAACGGAAGGTCAGGAGTTGCGAACTGCAGCTTGGTTAATCCGTCGGGCTCGCGCTCACTTGCACGTCGCAAGCTTCCGCTCGCGCTGGCGCTCGCGCTCTCGCGCGCGCGTGCAGCGCCAGCGTGCACTTTGGCCTCGACAGCTCCGACGCGCGACTGGAGACTTGTCGGGTGTTAACAGAGGTGGCCGTGGCCCAGAGGTGATGAGATGACCCCAGCTCTCCTCCCAGGGAGGCCCTGGTTGGTCTTAAGAGCGTCCCCCACCAGGCCAAGGGGGCTTCAAAGGGGCGCCAAAAGCTGGGAGCACCTCAACCAGACATCCAGCAACTGGATTTGTGTTAAAACATTGGCCCCTGGACCCATCGATTCCTTCCACGGGGGCTGGCTTCTTATCGTGAATCGTTGTTTGACGCACTTGGGCCCCACGGCTGGCCACCGGAGGCCCTGGAAAGAAGTTCGCCTCGACTTTGTTCGAGCCGCTGGGTCCCTGGGCTGATCATTTAGATGCTCATTCTGGGGACATCCTTGGAGCCACTCGCTCCACTCGTGCGTCGAAGCTGCGTCCAACGTCCGTCGACTCGAGTCGAACCTGAGTCGAACCAGCGTCGAACCCGAGTCGAACCTGTCGAACTGGAGCCGAACTGGAGTCGAACTTGAGCCGAACTGGATTCGAAAAGACCCGCCAGGTGGGCCCCAGGAAGGTCCCCAAAACGAGCATCGAGGATCAGGGCCACCTCTGGGAGACTCAGAGGACACTGGGGCGCGCCTGCACACCGGCTTCGGCGCGCGGCCACCGCCCAGCGATTAGCCTGGCCTCCTAATTAAATGTTCCCCCTCGGGGGTCAAGGCTCGAGCTTGGACATGTTGGGGCGGCTGGCGGCCTGGGACAATCCTCTTGCTTGGCGACTCGAGTTTGTCATGCTTCTGTTTTCATGTTGCCCCACACTGTAAAACGAAGCCAGGGCGGGGATAACATCGGTCGAGGATAAAGCCGAAGGTCTCTGAGATCCGGCGGCTCCCGATGATGTCTCGGGCGCCGCGGCCTTCTCAGAAAGAACGTTCTGAGACTCTCCAGGAGCGTTCCCGAACGCTCGCTCTAGACTCTAGAACGGATGCATCCTCGTCGTAGCCCCGTCCGACCTTGGTCCTCCAGACGCCGCCAGCCGCCTCCTGGAACCCCCAGATCCCCCAGAGACTTCCAGAGACCTCCGGCGGCACCTGAAGCCTCTGGAGGTCTCTGGCGACAGGGCGCCCAGGGCGGCAGGGCAGGGAGTCGGCACTGGCACCTGTAAATGCAGATCGCTTCCTTTTTCGGGTAAAACACTTTCCCGTCGCAGCGCGGCAGAGGCAATTCGCACGTGCGCTCAGCAGGCCAGGCGACGGCATTGCGCGAATTGCCCGGATGCAAAGAAGAAGGGCGGCGGCGGAAGGAAGAGGAGGACTAGCGCGCTCACGCCTCGGGGACAGCAGCGATCGCCAGGGGCGGCCAAGCCGGTGCTGCACCTCTGGCAACGGACGGGCTTTTTCTGGTATCACACAATGCCAAAGATTTACATGTTCGGAGGTCCGCGCGGATTTCTTGGGTCGGTGCCCTTCCATGGCGCGCGGAACGCGCCAAGGGCGGCGCCAGAAGCGCCGCCACGGGGCTCCGGCGACGATCGGAGCAATCCGCGCGGACCTCTGAAAGTTGATGTTTACGTCATTATGGTGTTGACCGATGTTTGAAAATTTACAATCGGGCTGCTGAAACAAGAACGAAAAATCAGGAACGAAGCCCTTTTTTGGCCGCAAAAAAGCCTGCGTGCACGAGGAGGGTTAGAGGAACAGCCATGGAGGGACCTAATGAACGAAGATCGAGCCTCTTCCAAGTTCAGCGTCTTGGCTGTACTGCTTGAGCCATGGGATTTTGGCTGTACTGCTTGAGCCACGGGATCTTGGTGCTGGTGTCGGGGGCGGTCAAGAGGGGGGTGTACAAGATGGGGGGCGCAAATCATGGCCGGCGGCACGACCGCGGCCCAGGGGAAGGGGCCGAGGACGCATTGAAATAAGCAGAGGCGCCATGAAACCTGGGGAGGTATCATAGCCCCCGCCATGATATCCACCCCCCTCTCCCTGAGATCCGACGTTGCACGAAAATTGCAACATTGCTAAAAATCACACCCGGCACCCCAGACCCCATCTTTCTGCGTCATCTTTCGAGCCAGATCGATCTGTGAGGGTCCAGGGGCGCGAAATTGAGCGAAAACGCCCGTTGTGAAAAAATTGCAATGCAAGGGTCTCAGGGCCTAGTCATCACCCCCCTCTTGGCCGCCCCCGACTGGCGTCGACTTCCGAGGCCCTGGCGAGCGGGGGCCCGGGAGCCAGCCTTAGGTCGGGCATGTCCTCCTACAGGCGGATTTTGAAGAAAAAAGATAATCAACAAATATGCAAAAATATACAAAAATGATAGAAAAATCGCCACCTGACGATTTGTTTGGTATTTGTGAATCTTCCTCCAGCAGAGGAACACGCCCGACTTAAAGCCAGCCCA